GACCCTAAAGTCTTATCGTTAAAAAGAAGAAGAGAAAGGGGATGATCACTTCGAGGGGATCGGCCTCCTTGATCGCTTCGAGGAGATCGGCCCACCTTGATCGCTTCGAGGGGATCGGCCTCTTAGGGTTTGTCACAAGACAAAAATAGTATTTTTCATAGATGATCGAAAAGAAGTAGTTACATCCCTATTTATAGAGTTCCGACTTTAGCTAAACTAAATGGACTTAATAAACACACAGAAAATAAAAGGAAAGCACAAAAAATAAAAGGAAAAATAAAAGGATCCTAACAAAGTCCCGCCTCTACGATACTATAACACTACCATGCCTATGACCCTACTATCTGTCGCCTCACATCTACATCCCTTTTCTTCACGATTAGTAGATATATCTTTGTGGCACTCCTTCGAGTCCACCTCCATTCTAATCGATGCTTGGTTTTGGGTAGCTAAGTCCCTATGGACTCATCATCGCTTCCTCGCCCCTTTTGACCCCCTACTTCAACACCTCTGTGTTATCCAAGCAGCTCTCTTTGGTCGATGGAAAGATAGATTGTAACTCCAATGCATGGCCTCTGCCATCATGTTGTAGGGTTTACATCGATTCTGTTCTTATTAGCTTCCTTGGTAGCAATATTTGGTTACTCGACCTTGTCCTCTGACTTGTCGGGCTCCCTTAAGCGAATATAGGCTCTGGAGTAGTCCAACTCTCCAACTGCTTCGATCATACCTCTGTATGATCAAGTCCCTCCTATGGGACTCACTAGTACTTGCATTCGAACTTTTTCCTCGGTGGAACACAACCCTCATATGCTGATAACTAAGGTTTTTATCCGATACAAAACTCGATGCACACACAGAAGACCTACCTCTGTGGTACCATGGCCTTCACTCCTTGAATCCATAGCCCTTCTTGCCATTGTGTTGTTCACTGAAGTGGAGCTCCCAATAGCTCCCGATCATACCTCCGTATGATATAGTCCCTCACGAGACTAGATTCATATGTATCGCATTGCCACGAACTATTCCACCATGATCCACTGCACCATGTCGCCTCCTAGTGACATCTCCATTGCATTCTGATCCTTGTGGGATGAACTCGAATTGTGAACCTTCCATGTGTGGCCTCTGCTAATACATCATAGGGTCTCTTCCACCTTTGATTTTGTTTGCTCCTTTGGCAATCGACCTTCATCCACCTACTCTTGGGTCACACCTAAATGAAGCACCGCTCTAGGACAGTCCGTCGCCTAGTAGCTCCCGTAGTCCACTGACTTCGCTAAAAATGGTGCACCATTATCTGGATCCTAGGCCTTTGCCCCCACCAACACAATCTTCGCTGCACACCACTTCCTTCATGGCAACTTGAATGGCAACACTATGACATATTCTTTAAGAGTATTCACCTCCATATCCTCTTACCCCGTGCCAAGGCCTTCTAAACCCAACTTTGCCTCCGCAAGTTGAGTCACCTTAGTTTTTCTATTAAAAGCTTCTCCGAGATAAGGTGCATGTGCTCAGAAGCTCCCTTCATCTTTGGCACCATGCAAGATGAGTCTGCTCCATCAGAATAAAGGACCCATGGAACAGCATGATCCTGCTTTTGCCTCTACAAGAGTTCATGTCCTTGACCTCTATCCAATGAAAGCTATGTACCTCCGCTCCATGTTTCATCTTCTATGCCGGCTCCCTTCATGCGTCTTGGGTACTTCGCCAAGTTACACCCAAGTTACTCTGCTCCTCATTTTGCATTGAGTTGATGGTAGCCCTCAAGCCCACCATTCCACGGGTCAGCCCTCCCTTGAGTCTAATCTTCATATCGACTCCAAGTGTGCCTTCATTTGTGTTGCTTTGGGTCGCTCCCCTACTTGATCTTGCAATACATCCACTAATGCATTCTCTCAAGCGAGATCATGCGACTACTCCTCGCCGCTCGCTCGATCCATTGAGCTTCATGGAGTTATTATTTTTAAGGTACTCCTCGACATGTAAAGTCTGTTGCACATGATTCTCCCTCCAGAGAGCCGGGACTTATCCCTCCGGGATATTTATCCCATTGGAGCAACATCTCTCTTTGTTTTGGAGATCACCATCCCCTTGGACTACTCTAATTTGCTAAACAAAATGTACATTGTTTTGTCTCCTGCAAGTACACTTGCTAGATTATGACTCCACGTAAATACAGCCCCCGCTACACCACTCAAGGCCTAGCAACATGCTGAACTCGCTGCACACTTCAGCCTCCTATGGATGTATCCTTCTTATGTCAAAGAGAAAGTTCCAATGCTCCATGGTACCGAGTTTTGGTCGTCTTGGGATGGCCACGAACGTTCCATAATCCGTATACAAGCCCTTGCATGAGTACCGAATTTTTCGAGTTAGTAATTCCTCTCATCTTTGTGAGCTTTGCACAACTCTTTCGGTCACTGAGCAACCCATTCTATCTTGCATGGTCTCATCCTTTACCAAGCGCCTCGCTTGCCTTGAGCACCATCAAGTATAGTTGTCAACATTGAGCCATAGCTCGAACTCAGCAATCCCAACCTTTGCGTACTATGTATTCTTCTAAGCTTACTTGTTCTCATGGGGCTTCTTGCACGAAGGGTTAGCCATTCCTCTAAATGCCAATTTCAGATGTCCGCTCCTCTGAGTGACTCCTTTTCCCTATATCTCCATGCCCATTTTCCCCCAAACAGTCGCGCGTGCTGGCTACCCTCAACGTAGCCCCGTTAGGTCCCCCACGTTTGTATGCCAAGTGTTTTTTTGAGTGCTTGTCCCACTCTGATACCATCTATTACGGACTTAGCTGATTTGTCTAAGTCGTGCGGTACCTTTGCGTGTCCGTCCGTAAAGATCAGCCTCCCCGAAACCTCCCATGGTCCCTTAGGACCTACAAAAGAGAAAATAGGTTAGAGAAAGTGTCTCACTCGGGATCCACAAGCAAACATTTCAGGAAACACTTCATAGACAATGCAAATTACAAACAAACTTTACAAGCTATGAACGGTTGCACAACATTGGGACAAAATGGTCCACTATATACCAAATTCTCTCACAAGTGTTCACATGACACAATCTTTATTTACAAGCCTAAAATGGCCACCAACCCTAACTAAAATAGGGTTATTAAGCCTTAGACCATCCCTCTACATGCTGTGCAAAGCATGAACGAACCAAAAGACACGGACATACATAAGTATTACATCAAACATCCTATTTAGATTTTTGTTCGTGACACATAGGCTAGACCCTTTTTTATTGCCACCTCTTATACTCCTTTCTCTCTCTCCTCCTCATCCAATAGCCCTAGTTTGCAGCGTGTGGGCAACAAGAAGGGTCAGCTCCTTCTTGATCACATGGTGTGCATGGAAATGAGGATTATCGCTAAAGAGGAGAATAGTTGACTTCCTTCATCCTCTCCCATAGATCTATAGGTTTTCAGGATATACGATCTCCTTAGATAACATATCTTTCACATACGTATTGTTTTCGATTTTTTAGGTTTTTACGTATCAATCTTCACATGACGACGAGAAACTTTTTCTATGGAAAATTCTAGGATTTTATTTTTTTATTTTTTCGCTGCATATGTGATGCTACCCCAGGTTTCCTAATAATATGTATGTCAGCCCACATTGTCTTCCTTGAAGCAAATTTGATTAGTTAGAGTTCCAAAAAATAAAACACAATCGCAAGATCCACCATTGAAGTTGAATACCGAGTCATCATCAGAACCACTATAAAACTCAAATAGGTCACTAATTCACCAAACAAATTTGTATCATCTCTTAATCGACTTTTACAATACATTGTGAAAATGTGGTGCCACCTACTTATGCATCAACCTAGTGTTCCACTTGAAGCATATTGTCATCAACTTTCAATTTGTTAGATATCAAGTTGATAAACTCAACTACATATTTCTCACATCCATACTACTGACCAACTAATAGACTTTCTTATAATGCAAAATATTTTAGTTGTATTGATCCAAGATTGATATTCTTAACAAAAGCTCAATCTTACGGGGGCATGATAGAAGATCATGATAGGCAAATATGTAATAACAACTTTGTATTCCTTATATATTATAATTCTTAATTAATTTATGATTTAAGGATTAATCATAAATTTGAGTAAATGATTTGAATGCATATTCTGAGTACATAATTGAAAATTTTTTTCTTTACAACCTAAATAAATGTGTATTACCTTAATAAAAAAAATTATCTCTTTCACAATAAATTTTTCAATATTAATGTCAATAATACTTTGTTTTTATTACAATAGCGTAAAAGTTTTGAGTTTTAAAGTGAGTTAATATGCTAAAAAATAATTAGTTTGAGAAGGACTGCGTAATTGATTCTGTCACGTAAACCAATCAAAACAAATAAGTTTGGACGGCTCATTAGGTCATAGTCGGATCTCAGTGGACTAAGATGTAGGCCATGATTCATGACCCGAACGTTTAATTTGGGCCGATTTTGGGCTTTCCTAGGTCAATCTCAGCCCTAAGAAATAGACGGTAGTTTGTGATTCTGAGAGAACACATTACCTACTAATCATCATAGAAATGAAATATACTATTCAAATACTGAATATGTAACACATTTATATATACCTTTTTATAGAAATTTGGTTGACATGAATTCAGTTGGATCCAATAAACAATTGGATATTGGAAGCGTTAGATCCGAAATAGTTCAAATCCGAAACCCATCAAATTCTAGTTGCATTTTTTGAATGGTTGCGTGTTGGATGGGCTGGGTTACGACTGCTGACACAAAGCATTTCAGAGACCTCCGACGGAGTCGAGACATAAAGCGTTTCTCATAATCCGCCGACGACCGGTTCGGGTTTATATAACAGAGGGTTCGAGATACAACTACGATTCTTATATGATCCGGGTTTGTAAACTGGGAAGATCCGGATCCAATTACGATCCCATTTATAGACCTTCCCGCGCTTAAAGCGAGCGTAGGGAGCGGCGTGCACAGCAGGGAGGGGAGTGGCGAGATGTTCCGTAACAACCTCGTCGTGCTAGCGGATCCGCCGTCCTCATCGCCTTTCCTTCTCCGCCAACTCTCCCTCCTCCCCGCCCTCTCGCAGCCGACCTCCTCCTCCCTCGCCGCCGTCGAAGTAGAGACCCTTTGCTGGAAGATCTCTCGCCGGTGGCGCCTCGCGTGCTTCCTTCACCATCCCGACGTCTTCGTCATCTACCAGGTCCAAGCCCTAGTGCGTTCTCGGCTAATCCCCAATAGAATGGGGGTTCGAAGTTCTCTTCTTGATTCATCTCTCCTCGGCCGCAGGGAACTCAATCCCAGTCCGCTGAGCGCGCCCTTGAGGAATTCGTCCAAGGAGTACCCGGCATCAGTGTGAGTTCCAGGATCCATCTCGTTCTTTAACCTATTGCGATCGGTAAATTAACGAGTAGATGGCTTCTAGTTTTTGATATGGGATAGATAGATAAGATCTATCTTACAAGGACGAGGCTGATTCTAAATCTTGCAAGAATGAAGGTTGGGGCAGAGGAAGAGGTGGCATCGGCGTCATTGGTGACCAAAGCAGTGGAGATTGTGTTCAGGACCGTCATGCTTGATCATAAATGGGCATGTGTTGGTAACAACACGTTTGTTGATTCAGCATTTGCTGGAACCGATGAGAGGAAGAATGTTGGTGCCTTTAATTTGGTAAATCACTCATGATTCTTTCATTGTTGCACAGAGACATTTTCTGGCTTTTCTCGTCTATGACATAACTATTATATTTATATGTACTTGATCAAATAGGTCCTCTCTAGTGTTAGGTATTAGGTTTTTTGAAGCTCAGTTATATAGACCATTTCTTGCGTCATGATGAAGAAGCCTTATACGCATGATACAGGGTGATGTTACTCTGCTAATAACATAATCTTTGGTCTAGAACTTCACCTAGCCAGAAAAATGAGTTCGAAGTGACCATATGGGAAGGTACATTAATTGCAGAAAAATTAGTCGAAGTGATCATATGGGAAGGTACAGTAATAGCTCTTTGTTTATAGTCACATCATTATGTGTCATAATGGTGATGGATCCAACGTGAGAGATGAGAGAGATAAAATATTGAAGAGTTATATTGGTTTGAGCCTTTGAGGTATGTGTTGAAATATTTGAAAATAGAGTATCCTTAATTCGTGAGGTAGTTAGATATTAAGTTGCAAGATTCTTGAGTCACTTTATGTTTTACTAACCACATCAATACTCATCTACTTAATGAAATAGCTTGGTAAATATCCATCGTTTCCTTGAAGATTTTAATTGATATTCCATTATCTCTACCTCTTTGTTGGATTTGCACACTTTTATTTCTGCTATATTATCATAAAAGTAAACTATTAATTATGATTTAAGGCATGGTGATGCATCCTGGGAGTAGCTGGTTCTAGTTAGTTGTGTTCGGTGTGCTCTGCTCAGGTATAGTCTGGTTTTGAACCTAACTGGAACCTTTGAAGTATTTGTTTATCTGGACTGAAACCAAACTAATAAGGGGAAAGATTGGAACTGCAGCATTCTAAGAGAAAATTTGAGGGAGAAAGGAAAATGGACCAAAAGAGGGAGAGGGGAGAGAGGCAAAGAGGAAGAGGGAGAAAGGAGCATTGTAAGGGTAGACACAAAGCGAGGATACAAAACATTAGGCATTTGATTCTACTTAAAATTATAGAAAGTTTCTTGAAATTCTTGTATTAATTACAAACTTAAAATTGTAGTAAGAAAGTTGTCTGTGTTTTACCTGTAGTCAGCTTTAATTGATTATTTAAATTATTTCAAATGCATTAATTGTTTGCATTAATCATTTTTCGATTCACAAGTATATAGTCAGTTGTGGTGAAAGCATTTCTTCACATCCTTTTTATCATCTTCTCAATTTGTTAGGACTCCATGTCAATGGGCATTTAGTCAATTTACCATTTCATAAAAGGGACCTGTCAGCAGTGGTTTCTATTAAAATTATCATGGTTGTCTTTAAACTAGATACAGTTAGTTGACAGAGGGGACACAAACAGTGAACTGAATTTATTTGTATCTTAATCAGCTTCTTCCTTATATGTCAAAGTGAATGTATTATTAATTGATTATTGGTTTGAGAGAAACTGTCGAAGAGCTAGGTTTCTAACATTTACTCAAGAAGAATAGAGGAGAAGCTGACTCCTATATACAAGTCAAACAAAAACATTGGCACCAATATTGTCTTCATAGACAGTTCTTAGTTGGTTCTACACCTAATATATTTCTTATAGGGGTTATTTTGTATCTTCAAAATTTTAAAGTCAGGAAATGTGCTTAATTTGAAATGGTTCTTATCCATCATCTGTTTTGTTGGTACTGGTGTTTATCATGCTTTGAGTTTGTGTCGTTACACCAAGTGTTGAAGTTTTCTTATGAAAAATTGTGCATACCTAACATGACAGAGGGTACAATCGGAGATGGATGATGGTTTTGTACTCCTTGTTTCACCAGAAGTACTTAGGTTCAGCAGATACAAGGTATCATTGCTATCTAGAAGCACAAAAGAAAGCAAGTTCGCATTATAGCCCCTCTTTTCTGTTATATCAGGTTACAGATTTTGTTAGCTCTGAAGTTTGGGAGAGCTTTGACAATGGTGAGATAGTAATGTTCAAAGACTATGGCTTTTTGACAGCTTGTACCATTATTCCTACATTAAGTGAGGCACATGTTATAGGTAGATGAAGTCCTCTATACTGTGGGATATACATTTTATAACTTTCTGGGATATCATCAATTTCTGGACTAAGAACAGTGTTGATTGGATAGGAGTGTGCAAGCTGCTTCCTGATGAGGAAAATTTTGAAAGACTGGAATTGCTTTGGTCACTAAAGGTGGTACAGATTATCTGAATCTCCGTTTTCTACCATATCAAGAATGATGATCATCATAAGTTTTTTATTCAAATTTTGACACGAAATCCATATCATGCAGCATGGCCTAGCATTAAACAGTGAATACTTCATCTCCGTCCAACTTGCATATGGAAGCTATGCAATCAAATGGTCTTTTTTCTTAAGAGTAGTCCTTTTTGCATAATTTCATAAACACTGGTCATGGTCGTTCATGCTTTAGATCAGTTTCCTGTGTTTCTTCCTGTATTAAGAAATAATTGTTATTTCCTTGTTCTCTGTCTAAAATTGATTAAGACCAGGTTGCCATCAGCTTATATTCTTCAAGATCCCAGTTTTTCTCCAGCTCCTCAAACACCTAGAAGTGCAAAAGCTGTGGATGTTATAGACTCATTTATGAAAATATTTGGAGGTCAGAAATATTTTTCTGTTTATTTGTGTCTACTTATGTTTATCTTCTGCACACATAAAGTTGTTTTGTGTTAGTTATCTTAGTGTTCCTTTTCTGGGATTTGACTGTGCATCTTGCCTACTTCTATTTATTTATCCTTGATGCAGCTTGGGATTTCTTCAGTCAGGGACAGCTTAAAGTTAAGGTATGTTCAGAATTTCCTACTGCTATTGATTTTTCATCTTGTCCTCCTCAATCCACTTCATGTTTTTCCTCCCCAGCCATGCTTTTACCTTATTTTGCTAGTTTATACTATATGTTCTTGAATTCCTATAGCTTCTTTATACCCATTTGTGCTGAAAATATTAAATATTTTTAAGAATATTGGTGTCACTTACCACACATTGACTTTTTCTGGCTTATTAGAATGAGAGGCTTTAATTGATGGTAAATTGTTACCATCTATGCACACAAATGTGATACTGATTTGGGTGATGTTATTTTTGTATTAAGTTTCTTACTTTACTGCTACCTTTTGTATGTTATCTTGGATTGAAATGAATGGTGCTTATCTTTTGGTTTAACATCTTATGGTCATTCACCTGCATTTTCTGAAATTTTCTCATCAGCCTGGTTCTTAATATTATAGGAAGTATCCTCACTTGGTATTGTCACAAAAATACCTGTGTGGACAACAGCGACAAATAAATTCCCATGTTGCATGGCAAGAAACAAGGAAAATGCTGATATTCAGAATTCTCTTAGTCCAAAACATTTAACTTCAAGGGATCTAAAGTTAGCTTTGGGTACTTCTACATACCGATGAAAGAACACACTGCCATTTCCCTTGTCTATTTATGTTTCATGCTAGTAGCTGATATCCTTGGTTTCTAAGGTTAGACTTCCGCGCTCCAAAGCCTGGCATCCAGTTTGTTCATGGCAGTAGAATGTTAGAGCTTAACAATGTTAAAGAGACTGCCACGTGCGGAAGTAATTTAAATATCAGTACAGAGAATATCCAAAATGATGTTAATGCATGCTCAACTAGTGACACTCTTCCAGCTGTCATGAAAGGTCCACCTGTTTCTATCAGCATCGAGTCAGGTAATCTACATTGTACTTTCTTGTCCTTTGTTCTGCTGATTGTAATATACTAGAAGGAAGCAGCTGAAGCACAAAAATAATGAACTTTGTTTCTTCTGTGAATATGATGGATGGCATTTGTAACCCAAGGTTCGTGTTTGTTTTTCATTCGAACTTGTTCGAAAGAATATATGCTACTCTTTTCCTCACAGTTTTCTAGTTTGCCACTTTAATTTAATAATACTTCATTATATGATTCTATATTATTTTTGCTAAATGTTAGACTAGATCTAGCTTCCAACATCTGTTTAAGCAAAGTAATGAATGTTCACAAGGGCAGAATCTCTGCAAGTAAAATAATGTGTACTGCTGTCCAATCTACAGTTTCAGCTACCATTGAACCTTCCATCTAACTTTGGTTCTTTCTAAAATTAGGTCCAGTAAATGGTAGTTATTTTGCTGAAGTGAAGCACTCCTCTGCTGAATATGACCTAAGTGTAGTAAGTAAAAATAGTTTTTCTGGAAACTTTTCAAATTTACTTAATGAAGCAATAAGAAAAATAGATGTAGGTTAGCTAGACAACATTTATGATTGAACAAAGATTCAGTTTATCCTTTTTATTATGTATCATAATTATTTGCATTGGTTTTCATTTGGAAAGATGGTGCCTACCTAACTGCCTATTTTGCTTCATTTACAGTGCAAGAATATGAATGAGATAATTATAACCATACTTTTTCTAAAGAATACCTGCCCCTAAACCAAAGGCGAATTTGTCACTGTAAACTTATTGGAGCTTGCTTTCTGTAAGATGTAAACATATCCAATTGAAGAATGACTTGTTTTCAGGACCCTTCTCAGAGATTAAAAGGATCCAAGTGGAAGAAGGAAAAAACTAAAGCTTTTCTTGGTAGTAATGTTTCAGAAAACTCTGGAAAAGGTAGTTTTTTCTTCAAAAAATGTGCTAACACTGTGCAGTGAGCTTTTCTTGTCTCTATGTTTCATATTAATTTCGTTTTTATCTAGAGGTACTAGTAGAAACTTTCCGAAGGAGGCCAGAGAACAGTGAGAAGAATAGTTTGATAGACAGAATATTTTAGTTCTACAGTTACTATTTAGCTAACAGAATGTTGATGCAAATTCTCTTTTGTTTTTTAGTTTCTTGGGGATGGGAGCAGGTATGATTGACAGTGGCTTAAGTTATGATGCATAATTTAGTTCAAGATTTGCCATCTTGTATTCTGAGATTGTTCTTTCATGTTCAAGGTGTTATGAAATAGAGAACATAATTTACTTAATAGTTGTCTGTCATCCTTGACTTCCATTTCAGAGTACCAATAAACAAAGAACCTTCTAAACACAAGTAAAAAACCTAATATCTTTGTTGTGTATATGAGGACCACCAACTCATGTTAAAATGCATCAACAGATCTTAATCCATGAAGTAGATGGCACAAATGCTTATTGGAGGAATTTGATCGCATATAGCTTATCACTGATTCTGTTAGGAACCTTTTGTTCTGCTTTGTGTAATATATGTTGTTTCTAATTTTATGAAATTATATTGGAAATCTCTATTTCTTACTCTTCATCTCATTATTTACTTATTTTAAACTTCACGAGATAGAAGATACAGCAGGGGGCTCCAAGATGAGGGCCAAACAATGCGTGGACCAATCTGTCATCACTGCAAAAGTAGAAATCTGGAAAGTTGTTACATAATTTTATTCTTACTACGGAAAGATGGTGACGATGCAAATTGGTTGTTTCAGGTTATGGATTACTATAAGAGTGGGGAGCTGCAGTCCCTCACCATGGTGGATCTGAAATGCTTTCTCACGTCTAAAAAGGCTAAAGTAGGAGGAAAGAAGGAAGAACTTATCAAACGAGTTACCTCCTTGCTTGCCTGATTGAGTTACTGTGCCGAAATTTACATCTCCAGACTTCGATCATGTATGGACCAGTCTTATCATTCTCTTGGTTAACTATGTTCTGGGATAAGAATGTTGATATATCGAGTGAACACAAAGTTGATCACAAGACTCGAGTCTTTCGGTCGTCATGTTTCTGTCCTTGTGACTCTAACCAACATCGACTTTGTTATAGCACATTCGTTTACTATACCGCAGTCATGCCTAATCAAAATGTAATGCGCATGACTGGCACATCCATGAATAATATGATTGAATGCTGCTGGCAATGCCGACTGGTTTTTGTTAACGTTTCTGTTGATTGCTAAGCTTACTCGATCTGCCACCTATTACATTTCTGAATGGTTTGTTTGTACGTCGAGGTGTCTGACCAAGAATGCGGGAGGAGAGGCAAGAGACAAAGCCAAATGACAGCCTGGCGCAAGCGGTGCTTCATAAGGGGATGGACATGACTCCAACGGACCTGACTACCCATCTTCTACGAGGCACGTTGTAGTTTTTTCAGTCTTTCATAAATATGATATGTTTTGAATATTTGTGTGCGTGTGCTTTCCATTATACACGGCTGACATAGGGTCTAGCACGTGGGAAATCCAATGGTACATCGGTTGATCATTGTCCTACGAGTATAACTCGGCGTCGATATGGACGATGATTCAACGCCGATAGAGACGGCGACTCAACGTCGGCAAGGCACTAATTTATGAGCCAGGATCAACAACGAGCAGTCCCTAATGTTAGTTGTTACTCCCAATCATGATCAATGATCTAATGCATCATTTTATGATCAACGATCTAGTGCATGATCTCATGATCCCAATGATGATCGGATGATCAACATAATCAATCTAAGAATTAATCACTATTTAGGCTCACTGATCATCATAGCATGCTATAAAAAGCCCTCAAGTGCGTCCATTAAACTGGTTGAGAAACTTCAGTCTTCATTACTTTCCAAATTATTACCTTCCAAATCATCCAAATCTAAATCCCATGGCCCGTATGGCTTTTCTCAAACATTACCCTATTTTTAGTTTTACATTGCCCTAATATAACCCTTCTCTACTCACGAGTAAAGATAAAAACTGGATTTTAGGACAGTTTTCTGTCACTTTATATTTTTAGGCCACTTTTAACACTCACAATGAGCACGATAAGCAACATCTCTAGCTTGAGGGAAAGCGTGCTTAATCCAACTTCTGTTCATCACAAGATACGATAAGAAAATAGGATTATATGTGTTTTGTATTGTCTTGAGTGAAAGGATCTATACTTCTAAACATGGTTTGATATCTATAATTCAAGACATGAAAAAAGATTTGGGAAATTTCACAACTATAGATTTGATATCTAAATGTGTTCATTAGTTTAGCTAATAAAAATTTTAATAGTTTATGATAATGTCTTAAAATCGAATCACTTTCGTCACTTATCAATTATAATATTTATCTATATAACATTAAGATAAAGCTTTGATATCAAAAGGTTAGTTAAAATAGAAGTTGTTATGTATATACTGTTAGAAAAAAATATCATTGATGTCTTAATTAATTTAAAGTGGCTTTGAGGTAGATTTAAGGTGGCTCTGAGATGAATCTGAAATAGATTTGAAATAGATTCGAGGTAGCTCCAAAATAAAAACAGAGGTGTGGAGTTCTCGAGGTGTTATATGCATAAAGACTAGGGTCGAGAGAGGTTTCCCGACCAGATCTCTCCAATACTCAAGTTAGTAATCTGAGATATCTAAATATAGACTCGAGTAGTTCAAGAAAGGTAAAATTATTTCTATTTTTTTATTTAAGATGTATTTTTATATATTGAAGGAGGCGAAGAAAGTTTATGATGTCCTTCCTTATCATAAAAACAGAGAATGGAGTTTAGGATTGTCTTTCTTTTTCTCGGAGAGAAGGAAGCTTACGATTGTCTTCCTTGTCAAAATAAAAAAGAATAAAGCTTATATTTTTCTACTTTGAATATTTATATATATAGATGGATGAAGATAAACCAGACCAACATAAGATAAGTCTGCTACGGTAGAAACACAAATTAAATATGCTCAAGACATGTGAGTCAAGAAACTCGACTAGCATTGAGATAAATCCACTACGGTGGAAGCACAAGCCAAATGTGGTTTACGCATGTGAGTCAAAAAAACCCGATCAATGTCGAGATAAATCCATTATGATAGAGGCATATGTCAAATATGCTCGAGGTACGCGAGTTAAGAAACACAACTAACATAAAGGTAAATTCATTACGACGAAAGCATAAGTCAAATATTCTTGAGGGATATAAGTTGAGAAACCTATGACGAAGGCATAAGCCAAAGGTGCTTGAGGTATATGAGTTAAGAAACTAGTGCCAAATCTACTATGGCGGAAGCATAGACCAAATATGCCCGAGGTATATGAATCAAAAAACCTTATCAATGCTGAGATAAATCCATTACTACGATGGCATGGGCTAGATGTGCCATAGGCATCTGAGTTGGAAAACTCGACCGATGCCAAGGAAAAACCATTATAGTGGAGGCACAAGCCCAACATACCCGAGACACTAGAATTCGAAAAACTCGACCTGCAAGTTGAGATTCCAAACACTCTCATTCTAAAAAAACCAAATGTCACGCTTTGAACCTCTCTCACAAGAGCCTCGAAGCATGCCTTCAAGAGGGATAAAAGATATGAAATCTACTATCAGCTGACATGTGGTTACCATGTGACACTCAAGTCATCTTCCATCTACCTATTGTTGAATCTCAGATTTTGATAATGAAATCAATTAATTTATGATCTAATCCATGTATTAAGAAAAGTGATATAGGACTAACTACGATCATGAAAAGATAAAACAATTAGAGAATCAAACGTTGGGCTAGAGTCAAAGATTGGGCATCAGGCCAAAAGAATCGAACAATGTGCTAAGAATAGATGGATCGGGCGTAATGCCGAAGGTTCAGACGATGTACCGAAAGCTCATCGGGAGTTCGTCGGGAGTTCACCGGAAGTTCACTAGAAGTTTGAATGAATAATTGACATGTCAGACAACTAAGATTGCTAGTATTATAATTGTTGAATATCGAATTTTGATGATGAAATCAATTGATGAATTGTTTGACCTAATCTATGTGTTGAGATAAATGTGCATGATTAACTACAATAGTAGTAAAGTATAAAGTAGATGATGGACCAGAGTCGAAGATTCGGATGATGTACTGGAAGTGTGTCAAGAGCTCGCCGAGAGTTCATCGGAAGTTTACCAGAGGCTCGTCGGAAGATCGTCGAGATCTCATCGGAATATCACCAAGAGTTCGTCAGAAGATCGCCGAGAGTTCGTCGGGAATTTGTCGGAAGTTTCGTCGAGAAGTTCGCCGAAAGAAAAATCGACATACCGGACTAATTGCTTGCCTTAATCGTAGTTAAAACATTAGGTGAGTTAAGATTGGGAGGTAATCCCACTAACTCGGTCAGGGCCCAACTGGGCCCTTAACAGGGTTGAATTGGGTCGGATTGAATAGGCCATTCAGCACTTAAAATCATGGTCGACGGTGGCACCGCCTGGTGACCCAGTCTCCCAGGTTGTCTAGGCAGTGGTACCACCCAAACTGGGCGGTGGTACCGTCAGTAATTAATGCTGCTAGCGGTGGTACCACCCTTGTTAGACAGTGGTACCGCTAGAGCTTGGTTTTCGAGCTCTGTCAAGCGGTGGTACCGCCCACTATTAGATTGCAAGTAGTAGTATCGCCCAGTAATGGCGGTGGTACTGCTAGTACCTCGAAAAATCGAGATGAGACACTTTTTTACTCCAATTTTGAAGCCATTGAGGCCTATAAATATCCCACCCTTTTTTGCATGAAAGGACACGAAAGTATTGGTATAATCTTGAGTCTTTGAAGCGTTGAAGTGTTGTAAAAGTGCTATAGTACTCCTCCTCCCTTTCTAAGTGTTGAGATCATTCAAGAGAGGTGTGATACTTGTAAGGGTTATCTCCTAAACCCGTGAAAATGAGAAATCACTAAAAAGAGGTGGTTGGTCTTCGCCTATTAAAGGAAGACCATTAGTGGACACCGATGACCTCAACGGAGGAAGAATCAGAAGTGGATGTAGGTTATAATGACTGAACCACTCTAAATTTTAATTTATTTTTCTATTTGTGAAATTTACATTACTGTAAACTTTCTTAACTTTCTCTTTGCACTCTTACGAAAGCTTTTAAGTTCAGTTTCTTTTCGAAACAGATTGAATCGAAATGAATATTTTTCGGAATCAATGCTTTTTTATATTGCACTAATTTACCCCCCCCTCTCTTAGTGCCGCTCTTGATCCTAACAATTAGTATTAGAGCAAGGTCACTCTCATTTGGTTTGAAACCCAAGAGAGATGACATTTTCTGGCAACCAAGAGGGTCATTTAATCACATGTTCGCCCATGTTTAATGAAACGATTACACGTATTGGAAGATTACAATAAGGATTTTCTAATTTCAATGGATTTTGAGTTATGGAATCTTATAGAAAATGGTTTTCAAAAGTCTTCTCTTCAAATGAGCGATTGGAATGAGTTGGAGGAGAAGAATTTCGCTTTAAATACTAAGACTATGAATGTCTTGTTTTGTGCTTTTGATAAAAACGAGTTCAATTGAGTGTCCATTTATTAAACGACTTTTGATATTTGGCATACACTCGAAGTTACTCATGAAGGTACTAGTAGAGTAAAGGAGTCAAAAATTAATCTTTTAGTCCATACTTAAGTTATTTCGAATGAAACCGAGTGAGACCATTGGAGACATGTACACCCGATTTATGGATGTCGTCAATGGTCTAAAAGGACTTGATAAAAGTTTCTCGGATTCTGAACTTGTTAATAAAATTTTAAGATCCCTTCTAAAGAGTTGGGACCCTAAAGTGTGTTGAATTTCATATTTTGATAATGAAACCAATTGATAAGTGTTTATGATTTGATATACGTTTTTAGTGACATAGGATGCTTCGATCAGGATGAGACAAATAAAGCAGGAAGAATCATGTTGGGCCAGAGGAAAATATGTTAGATGATTGGACGTCGAGCCGGAGGATCAATCAACGTATCGACAAAAGGCTTCGAGCCATGGATTTGGGCATTGGGCCAAGAAGAGCGGATATTGAGCCAAGGATATCGGAGTTGCAGAGTCAACTGACC